AAAAAAACAACCCATACATCAAGAAGGCGTCGCAAACGGGTGTGTTTCCAAGTGTTCAACAAGGGGAAACCGCCATGTTCAGCACTCTGGTACACATGATTGTAAGGTGGTTTGCTGAAGCGCTGTGACCGGGGATTTGAAACAGAAAACATAATTGCGCTTTTACGGTTTGGATCTCCCTCCCTTGTGGGTCCCTTTCCTCCCCCAGGTGTCAGTGTCAGACAAGTGCTGTCAAACGAGAGCTCGGGCAAAGCATGGCGAAAAACCAGTCCCAGTCCGGTAGCATTCACCATTCATGAGCAACCTTGTTTTTGCGGGGCAAACGAAAACCCCAGAAGAATCCAAGTCAACGGTCAATCCCACTGAAGTCACTACTGTTTATTATAGTGCCTTCCTGCTGCAGAAAAATCTACAGGAAATGTTCTGCTTGGTTTAAGGAACCTTTGGCTGCAGGGTTGTCTGTAGAAGACTTTATGAAATACGTCGAGAATATCACCATTTTGTTCCGTACTCGAAACAAAACACCGACCTTCCACATTCCATGTCCTGGCTCTGTCCGACGACCTCACCAAACTGGTACCGTGTCTGGCTCTCGGAATCGCAGTGGCTCTCTGAATCGCAGCACACCGAAACCTTCCAATCCGGAAGTGTCGATTTCCATGGAGGCATGGCTCTTGTCTCACTGGGCATGGCCTTTGCTGATGAAGGACATGAGGGCTTTCCCCCATGACCATGGCCCAGACACAACCGAGCTAAAGCTCCCTTCACTGCCATCATGTCGCTTCTCTCGAACATAGTGCCTTGGTCGTTCTGGTTGGAGTGCCTGCAGGTGGACCCTAACCGTAGATTTGTGCAAGGATTGGTTTAGATACCCACAATACCCTGGTGGCCCTGGTGACTAAAGCAAAAAATGACTCCTGGTCCGATGTGCTTAAACCATTGGCAGACAGCCGCAAGAATGCAATCAAGGAGCTCAGTCGATGATAAGGACTGTCAGGCTTTTTCCGTTTGTGAAACTCCTGAACCCCACGACCAACATGCAACCATGGTACCTGAACACAACCAGAGGCGAGTTCCAAACCATGCAACTGTATCTATACTATACCTAGAACCCATTTGACCTCTGGAAAATACCTTATTCAAATAGAGGTCATTCGGTCATTCGGGTTCTAGGTGTATATATATATATGGTACCCCCCAAAAAAAAATAACACCCTTTTATTGTTTTTAGCGGTATTTACAGTGAATTCTGCTTATTTTGACGTTGATTTTTTGAGTACAAGTTTTAGATGATTTTTGCGGTTGGAATTGTTCTAATGGTTTTTTCGTTTTGCATTTAAACAATATAAGCAAATAAGCTGTAACAATGGATGAAATATGAATTGAATGGACCTCGTTCCCTTCTTCTTCCGGAAAAAAAATTGGTTATGATATATTTTTTGAACAATGAGGTTTATAATTATATATTTGAACAATGTGTATATATATATATACCTACGATACCAACAAGTAGGTTTACGGGGTGTTCGAGCAAAAAAAAAGAAAAAACGGTATTTTTTCAAAACAAATATTGTGTATTTTTACTTTTTTGGTCGACCCGCCCCCCCGGCGGGCCCCCCCCCCCCCGCGCGATCCGCAGGAAAGAATTAATTTGAATTAAGTGAAATAATACAAAGACTGTATGACAATAAATATAAAAACAATTATGACTGTAAGTCACGATTTGTTGAAGTGAAACTCAACTATGGAAATGTTAAATTATATAATTTTAAAAAATAGATTGCATACTCAGCCCCCACCGCAGCCTTAACCTGAGATGAAAATGAATCATATGAATAGAATATTAAACTAAACTAAATAATATAAAAAATAGTCTCCATACGCAATAAAGTAGGCACACTTGTGTTTTCTTGTTTTTTTGTGATTCCAGGTTGCATAGACCAAAGCAAAAACCAAAAAAGACTTGTGTTGTTTGTTTTTTTGATGAATGAAACCCAAAAAAACAAAAAAAACTCGATGAAAACCAAAAAAACATCTTTCAGGCTGAAGCAAAAACCAAAAAGATTCTCCTCAGAGTTTTGTTTTTTTGTTTTTTGGTTTTGATGTTGCTTTGGGTTTGGCTCTAAGTTCGACTTACTACTATCACCGCAGCCGTTTTTTCCAACACAGAGTTGTGGACTTGTTGAAACAAATCATAGAGAGCTTACCTAACAAGAGGGTGTACAGTAGATGAACTTCTACGGGACACAGACGGGGACGTGACTGAAAAAGGACAACAACGACTCTGACCTGTGGCCACGGTGTTGGGCTGAATGTCTCACAGAAAGAGTGAAGTACTGTTTGATGTGATGTTACTGACTGACTGACTGACTGGAATGACTTGATTGGACTGTCGGACTGTTTGAAGTGCCTGACTGATTTCCTCTAACTGATTTTCTCGAAGGTTGTTGTTCTGTTTCATTCTTTTGCACACAAATGGGTGGGAAGTGGGAACATTCAAAATAAGCATACGGGTTAAGAGCCCTTGGACACAAAAATTGGATCAGCAATAGATTAAGAACTAGTTGGAGATGGAGTAGGAATGAGGTGACCTGACCAAAAACATCGGCAACAAAATGTAGTAGAATGAGCAACATTCTGTGTATTGTGAATTGTGAACGGAACAAAACCTTAAATCAAAAGAACAAATATATCTTAGTGAGCTGGCCAAATCCCATGTGTTGTGAGTCAGTTGTGAGTTGACTAAGTCCTGAAATTAGAAAGCCATAGATTTGTATTGACCGATGTTATGTGTGGTGTGAGCTGAGCTGACCTAATATTTAATTGCAAACAGTACCACATAAGACATAAGGAGGTTGAAATTGAAATGAAAAGTTTTGGCATTGTGAGCTGTAGTGTTGTGAGCTTACCAAATCCTTAAATTACATTACAAAGAAGGAATTGAAACTTGTGCATATTGTCAAGTTGTGAAGTTGTGAGCTGACAAAATTCATAACTTCATAATTCATAACTTTAAAACGTGATGTGAGTTGTGAGCTGACCAAATCATCGTCTAAAACAGTTTAACTAATACTATTTTTGGAAGGAGTAATCTTGTGTAGTAAGCTGACCTTGACCAAATCCGAGAAACAATAGCTTAAGGAATTGAATGATATGGAAAAAATGCTGCGATGATGGCCAAGTCCTTAGACTTTTAAATTGGATTTGGAATGAGAAATCCTTTGTTGTAAGAGGACCAAATACTTCATTGTGTTTAAACAAATAAGGATTTACATCTTGTGTAGTAAGCTGACCAAAAACTTAAACTAGAAGAAACACATTAACTTAAGGACTTAAGGTGTTGGAAAAAGAAATTGTGTGTTGTGAGATGACAAATTCCATAAACTTTTCTCAACAAGATAAGGATTTGACATGTAAAATAGTGCGTTGTGGGATGAACAGTTCATCCCTATTATATTAAACACAATAAGGATGTGGAATGAAACAAATACTTTAGACTACCTTAATTTGCAAATTTTGCAAATAGAATCCTTTTTGTATGGCTCAGAGCATTCTCTAAAGGTTACTGATGTTTTTCTCTTAATTTGTTTCTTCTTCAAGGCCACAAAAACCTTTCAACCTTCTGGCGCAACATTCTGCTTATCTGCAAAGCTGTCATCTCTACATCAAGGTTAACCATATGGTACAACACAAGACTTTCCTGAAAACTTCCCAATCAAGTGGTGCAAGGTGAGTTTTTTTGGGGGGGCCTAGCATATATATATATATATATCGCTCCTTTATTCACCAGTGCTTCGCGATCCTAAGGATCCCGACGACCGAACGCATGGAGCTCCAGGCTTCAAACACGTCCGCACGGCGGTTGTGGTTCACTGCGGTAGACACGGGCCAGTCTTTTTCTGGACCCAACCCGGTGGCACTGCCAGCTGATCCATGGGCACATAGGATGCATGTATACTATATACCCCAATACAGTAGACATTCATAGACATTCACTAACTTCTGATCCATGGCCTTTGGGAGATCGGTTTTGGAAGGAAGAAAGGTCGACCAGAATGAAATTGGGAGGGGAGATCGCCCAAATTGTTCCTGTAAAGGAGATCCCCTCAGGTGTCTCCTCTTTCGAGGATGTCGCCCGCTGTTTCGCAGACTTCCCAAATGCCCGCGTGTTGGCATCAAATCCCCAAAAGAGAGAATCACGGGTCCCACATAAGCAGAACACACCCGCCCTTTTCTGGTCTAATCCATGCTCATCCCCATCCACGGATCACCCACCTCGCCCCCGATTTGACGTCGCCAGGATTCTTGAATTCGCCAGGATTTTCGGACACGAGCTGCCTTGACGAGTTGGGCCAAGCGGAAAAGAATCCACTCTCAGGTGGTGGATGATGGTTAATAGCCCGGTTTTTTTCCCATGCAAAGGCTTAACCAAATAAATCTGCCTGGAACCCCCAAAAATGGCCAACTCGTTTTTGCGCAGTTTCTTGTGCTGCGATCTGATTGATCACAGCAACTGTTGCTTCTGGGATTCGAACCTCGGATGTGGATGTGCTTGTACCGTACGTGCTCCAATTGCTGGGAGGTTTGCGTTCATGGCTCAAACGAGCCATGCGCGAGTTCGTTACCCGAAGAAAACAAAAAAATTGAAGCTGAAAATACGATGTTCTTGGGATTTCTTGGGTCTATCCTATTACCAGGTTCCAGTGGATGATGATGGTTAGGTTACAGGCCTTTCTCTAAGATAGTGATAATTGTTTACCGACGGTCACAGGTAATAGGACAGACCCAACTATGTTTCTAAGCGGAAGTACTGGAGGAATTGCACACAAGCATCACCAGATGCTCCCGAATATGAGCCTCAACTGCCAGCACCTGGAGGAAGTCTGCTCAAACCCTCCGGACCCAGTGATGCCTCTGAATTCAAATGCCAGTGATAAAACATTTAAAAAAACACACACACACACACACTCAAAACTTGCTGCTTGACCCAACTGAGCAACCACGGCCTCACTCGCCCGTACCCGCGGACCTTTGGATCTCCAAGAAAGGTTGATTTGTAGACTCTTGATTGATATGTCACCACAAGAAGAGGTTGTTGCATCCATCCTTGGGATGGTTGATTAAAAAAAGAAAGCAGTCTAACAGAGTCTACATTAAAAGATCCAACGATTCTTGGAGGGTCCAATGGTCCAGTGCTGCCCTTTCCTTCGAATCATTCCCTGCACAACGAAACGTTCTGCCAGGGCCTCTTTCAGAGTCCCTCCATCCCACGGAGGATCGGAGGAAGTGTGCGTTCTTTGCTGTGATCTGCCCATGAAAAGCTGAAAAGCTTGTCAAGAATCGTCCTTGGGAATACATGTCACGCCTCCGGGTTTTGGCTGGTCTTCCTTTTCATGTCCGGATTGATGAAATCTGACGGAGATTGTAAAGATCGAATGGATCTTCCTCTGAAATCCCATGGATTCCGGCGCTCCTCCCGGGACTTTTATTGTGTGGCTCTTTCACCCTCACCTGCGATCCGGGTGGCAAGAACATCTCCACATCCTGGGACCACATCTCGTGCGCGAAGCGGTTGGGCGTGGCCTCCAAGTCCCCCAGCCGATACTCCGTCCAGGATTCAAAGGACTTCCTGGGCGGACAGCTCCTGAGCGTCCCCAGAACCCGCTGAAACCGGCGACGGACCTTCGTGTCGGACGATAGAAGGGTCGGAACACCCAACATCTGCCAAGAAAAGGAAGGTTGTGGTACGCGACAAAGTGATCAAAAAACATCAAAGCCATTACAGTATTACCTGTTTTTGCCAGCACAATCTCCAAATAGTTTAGGCAGTTTTTTTGTTTAAAGAATATCTGTCATGTCATGAGAAAATCCGAGGATTATTACAAATTTGAAACGCTGAATCACTGTTGCATTCATACCCGCAACCAAATAAACCCAGACAAGGCGGTGGAGAAAGAGAAAACGACAAGGCCATATGCAGGGGACAAGGCCCATTTTGAGGCGGTGACAAGAAGGCCGACAAGGCGGACAAGCAGGGACACACAGACCTGGAGAAGGCCCGGACCAGGTGGTGAAGAAAGGCTGGATGGCGCACGGCACGGCCACGTGGCCAGCCCCTTTTTTCGAAGAGTGTGGACCTAACCTATGGTCGTTCTGGTTTCGACCGGGCACATGATGGCATTCACAGACATCGGAACAGCTCCTGAACAGGTTTCTGATTGTGATAGATGTTTTCAGGAATCCTCTCTGGATCCAAAAAGAGCACATGTCCACCTCCACATGGCTCTGGATTCTTTGCAACCCTCTGACCTCCTTTTCAGTCAAGCCTCTCATCGCAAAAGACCAGCTCGGGTGGAGTCCAGTCTGGTTCCACGTCCCTCAGATTGGTGAAGAATCGAAGTCAAAAAACGCTCCGTCCCGAATCAGACTCCCAGGTGCCCCCGTCTCGCCAGGCGACCTGGAGGGGCCTGTAGGCGGCCAGGCTTTCTGAGTGTCCACTCTCTCAGTCCGGACGACTGCATGTCGGTGTCGGGCCCTGCCCTTTTCTGCTTCGCGTCGGTGTTCGGGTCCCAGGTTTCTTGAGGGCCCGTTTGGTTTGGGAGTGCCCCCGAAATGCTTTCACCAGCCAACTGATATGGTGATCCACGTACCTCCTGGGTAGGAAGTCACGGCCCCGGCCCGGAGTCACCGCCCCTTCGGCCTCCGCTCGCAGTGTCTGACCGCCACGGTGTCCGACCGAGCGAGCAACGACCACTCTTTCCCTGGTCAAGAAACCACCACCCCAGTAGGTTTCAGGGTGGTCGCGGCAGCTTGGTCGCAGGTCCTCTTCTTTCATCTCTTCCACTCTTGTCTACCTTAATATAACCAAACTATAGCAAGGTGGCCCCCAAACCTCCCCATACTCACTTTGCATACATATCTATCGATTTGGAGGCAGCGAAACTTGGAAAAAAAAACAGTAGAACACGTCTAGAATATGAAACAGGATTAAGAAGCCCCCTTGTTATTGTTGCCCTTCACTATTCTACGCTTCTTAGAGCTCCTTCTTCTCCTTCTTCCTCGCAATCGGACATAAAACCTTGACAAGCACGACGCCCAGCCGCCCAACCACTTCGACACAACGCTCGGCTGAGCTCAAGCTTCGGCAGCTCCAGCTCCTGCGGCTGCTGGCATCCGATGTCCTCCAGTAGCAACTCCGCCGGCTTCAACGAGGGGCTGGTGAAGGCTAAACCACAGGGGTCCTCGGAAGGCTCAACCACCCTTCCAGATTGGGGTAAAAGGGTGACCAGGAGCACAAGCGGAACTGGAAGAGGATGCGGAACCAAAATCGACAACCAGAACAGCAGGGGCCAATAGCGGCGCATGGCGGCAGATCACTGCAGCAAGAAAAGTGTGTTTAGCATGACTTAGCAATCAAGAGACCATTGAACGGTATATTGAACTTGTTCAGAGATTCTTCCATAAGAAGGCAAAGCGCCTGGCAAAGGTTTTTTCAACCGGCCCCCAGCCGCCGACAGCGGAGCGCTCACCGCTCACTGCTCCTGTCCCAGCGGCGGCCACTGCTGTCATCATCTTCAAGCCGTCTCACCACGATGGGGCTTCGAAGCCCGTAGAAGTAGGCTGTGGTGTTGGCCGTGTGTGACCCTAGTCTACTGGACGCTCTGGCTCCAAATGCCTGCGGAAGATCTTGGGATGCCTTTTGTTGGGCTTATGAAGGGATGCTGGCATGTCTAGTCTTTTGAAGGTGCATGGCATACGCCTTGCTTCACCATCCCAGCAAAAAGGTTAAAAAGGATTACAAACATGCTTTCATCTGATGGCATTGGCCAGTGGGCTCCTTCTCCTCCTGATCGAAGCTCTTGGCCTCCAGTTGCTCTTTTCGCCTTGACTCGTACAATTCCCAGGTGTGCTCGAAGTGCTCCTCCGACTGACACGGTTCGTCCGGCAGGAATTCCACGATCATCCCAAGGCATGGCATGATCATCCCAAGGCATGGCATGGGCAAAGGAACGACAAGCACACCCACATCTACATTAAACATGTCGTTCTCGATGGATTCTTCTGGACAGGGATACCGACCTCAGGCAGCATCTACCTCGGGTCTACTAAAGGCTGCTCATTGGGGAGCCACGGTTTCAGAGTAGATGGCACACCCCCCAAGAGCTGATGAACATGGATCCCCGATCTAAAGGTTGTCCATAATATCTAGCTTTGTGCCACTTGGCACCCATCTACTCTGAAGCGCAAAAGTTCTTCCTTTGTGCCTTGGGAGCTTCGCTGCGTCAGCGCACCTTTGTATGCACAACGATGAATGCCTTGACTCGCAACGTCGGTTCAGATGGAGGGAAGCTTTGGAGCAGGAACCAGTGACTGTAGAGTTCTGTAGACGCTTGATGAATCAACATGAATCAACCACCCAGGCCTGAAGAGGTTCTACAATCCAAATGGGGAGATGGGGGGGGTAATGAATCAAGAGTCTACCGACCCAGTGACCGGTGCCCGAAACCCCAAAACGCCTGTCGTCTCGGAACATCGGGGGCCTGTCGTCTTGTGAAACCGACCCTGGCATCCACTCAGCTCCAGCGAGGAACGAGCCTTGAAATGCGTGGCTTGGAAAGGGAAGGATGCACAACCAGGACCTTCAGTGACCTCTTCAGGATTGGTAAGTGACCTTTTCAAGGCCTGTTCGTGACCTCATTCTGGGATCTCAAGTTAGGTCACTGGGAAGCTGGAAAAATGGCACGTCCCTTTTGCACGCCCACTCACCTAGGATACCTAGGTCCAAAACACCAGGCTTCTCCTTCCCATCGACCGGGTCCAAACAAAGGCCTTCCTCGTCCAAAAGAAACACCGGCTCCTCACATTCCTGCAGCCACTCGGGACAGATCTCCCGGCTGCTGCCCAGCTCAAAGTCAGGACAACTGTCCCAATCCATCTCCCACAGCTCGCCCCATTCAGGGTGTTCCTCGGGCAGCTCTGTGCAACTCATGCAGCACGCATCGCACGGAAAACCAGCTTCCCACAGTTCTACAAGTTCCATGAGGTGCCACGTAAGAACTTGTGGAGCCCTGGCAAGTCTGATTCCAACCCCCGTCACAGAAATCCCCGTCACACCACCAACGAGAAATGGGCTGGGCTCTGCCGCGTGTCCTTCGCCAAGCGGGCAATGGGGTGTTCTGGACAAACGCCGTGCAGCCACTGGGCTCCAAGATCGATCACCGTACCTGGAAGCAGCAAAAAAGACACTGCGAGCCTGCATGTTTAACCGTGCGCCGTGCGCCAGGCGTTTTGTGCAGGCCGTGTGAGGTGAAAGAAAAGAAGTAAGCCGTAAGTCTCAAAAGAAAGGCGTGATGTACTGAAACTCATGAAATGATGTCATCTATGTCAGAATCAATATCATCGGCTTCTTTGGGAACCAAAACGAGCTTCGGGCACCATCGCTGAAGCGGTCGGTGTGGACCCGCCCGCCCAGGCGCTTGCGAGCCTCCAGGACCTCGGACGCTGAAACCAACACGACTCGAACGGAGAGGTCGGACCGCTCATATAAGGAAGCTACTAGCGATGGCCTCCAACCTCAGAGCGATGGCCTCCAACCTAGTTACTCACTAACATGAAAGTGGAAAACCCCGTGTTCGTGAAGGGAAAAAAGTCTTCCTAGGGACCACTTTCCACTTCCATGTTAGTGAGTCAGAGTGTACACTCACTCACTGTCACTCACTTACATTCAGCTCTTGCGTTTTCTGTTTGGCTCGCTCTTGAGGGGCAGGTTTTGCTGACGGGTCTTAGTCGTTGGTATCGTTGGGGGCTCTCGGGAAAACTCCAACAGTGGTTGAACATGCATCCGGACCAAATCCAGAGCACCTTGGAAGCGATGTGGCATTGTTTGTTCAAACTCTGGCACAAAACACGTCGTTACTCAACACAAATGGGATTGGGCAGGGCACTTGAACAGGTCCAGTGACAGCTGGTTCTGTATCACCTAGGATTCACTATGAAGGCCTCAAGGATACCAACCAGGTATCCCTAAAACAAAGTGACAGACTGACGTGACTTGCCTATTTAGAGGCTCTCACCTAAACAGGAAAACATATCCCTTCAACCAGCTAGACTCCCATGCAATAATATCAAAGCCAAGCGTCGGTAACATCCACGTTTGGCAACTGAAGCACCTGACAAACGCATCATGGATGAGGATCCCTGTGTGTATCCGCATCATACTGACTCTTGACCATATACTACAGTATGGTGAAGGTGTGGAAATGCACAGAACGTGACTTGACGTGGTAGCTTGCCCAAAACATGTTAAAACTGGCCTTCGTCGGGTGCGAGGCGTTCCATCTCGAAAGGATACCCAAATACAACAACGAACGCACAGAGGAAGGAGAGACCATGCAGTAGAAGAATCTTCCCTTCCAACCAAACCATTCATGGCTTGACACACGGGCACCTCCCCTCCCAGGCCTCCCGTGCGGCCGCCAGCCCAGAGATGCCAGCGCCAATGACCAGGACCCTGCGCGCCAGCAGAAACGGGCGCCGCGGCGCCGCGGCGCCGCGAGACTCGCGGCAGCGAATGGAAGCCATTGGAAGGTGGGAGAGTCCGGTCATCCGCATCGGTCCGTTCGAAGCCGGTCGGCATTCGAACCAGGGAACCTGATGATGTTAGCCTGAGGTATAGAACTACAAGATCGACAATGTTGTGATATCGAGGACAAACAAAAAGTACTGCAAATACCATGAATGTTCTACAGAATTGCTCGACACCATTGAAAAATACCATCGAAAATGCGTATGGCAAATGCGACGCTCTCCCCAGTGGCCCTGCGGACACACAGAAAGTATCAGAAAGTCCTGTAAAGACCACACGGAATTTGCAAAAAAAGGTAATCGAAATGCCACGGCCTTCTACGTGAGGCAACTACAAGGCTCATACTGGACAAGTATAGCTCAAGAAGAATAGAAAAGTCATAAAGGACGAGCTCTTGTCCTGCGTGTTGGATTCACAAGGCGGAAGCAATTCACCAAGCCAGAGTCTCAAACCCGAAACAATCATCTTCTGCTTTCACCCGAAACGACGGGTAACCGGGTAACACAAGCCCCTCAACACTCCGTGCCACGGCGAACCGGTCTTCGGTCCACCAACAAGGTTCCGGTGAGACCGACCCGCGGTGGCGTTTGACCATCGATGTCGGCGGACTCGGTGGGCTTGGCCAAGGGAATAGACTGAGAATGTCCTCAGTTCCTGAAGAACAAACTCATTGGTATGGTCTGCTGAAATCAATTGGACGAAAGCAGAAGGTTCAACTGAAATGGTATATCTTTAGATAAGAGTCTACCAACGAAATCAAGCCAAAATGCAACGCAGCAAGTTTGGAGGTCATGCTCCTTGTTTTGTGACCTTCTGGGCTTTCTCTGCCGATATCTTGCTGTGACCTACAGCCCACATAACGACGCACGACCCACAGAAGCACGCAGAACCCGCTGTCTTCTCCCCACCTCGCTCGCTCTGCAACCGGAGACGTCTCCCGCTTCGTCGTCTTCCGCTTCGCGCCCGGCTCCATGAGGCGGTGAGTCTAGTCTCAGCAGTCTCAGTCTAGTACCTCGAGTACAAGTACACACAGGTACGAACGGACCTTCCAAACAGGTATTAGAACCCTAAGAGGCTTCTGGACTGTTATCAGGAAACACCTGTTGGAGGGTCCAGGTATGTGTAATATATGTAGTTCGACAAAGGCTTTGTGTGGGGTCATTCTACCCACCAGTGCGATGCTGTTTTGGAGTGGATCAAATCCCAATCCTGGGCCACTTATCATTCGACAGGTCCCAGTCACTAGCCTGTCAACTTGGGCATACAAACTATATGTCAGCAAGCTGATTCCAAATTCGAACCCCTGATTTAAGCAATGCATTCCTTTCCACTCACAGTTCCATTTGCATTGAGCCATGCACTTCAAGTCTTAGCCATCTTTTTGCTGCCGTGTTCTTTCAGGCCCAAGTCAACCCACCCAGAAGAGAGCTGCTTCTCTCGGATTGGCCATGTCTGTTCGGAATGGCTCCGACGCTGGGTGAGCCGCGAGCTGCTCGGGTGAGCTGCTGGGGTTGGAGCACTGAATCCAATCCATGGCTGAAAGCGGGAAGGACTCTGCCCATGTAAGAGGGGCTATGCGACTTCCAAAGGTGGGCTCATTGGCAAGAAGGACCTTCGGCCTCCTCAAAAACCACACATGGACGGCCGAAAACAGACCGGGAAAGCTAAAGGCATTCGGAAGAGTAGTTGGACCTTCTTTTGCCTAACCCCAACTACACCGCAAAGCATCGCAAAGGTGCCCCAAAGACTCATCCTGACACCCACAACTGTGGACTGGAGGGATGCAATGTTCTGGGTGCTCTCTTGTCCGGTGCAAACAAGATCCGACCTCGTTCGGACCACTGGCCAAAAAAACAATCAAGGTCCGTCGATGAAGGCATAAGTCAAGGGTAGAAAACACACCTTGCTATAGAATGCACTTGGTAAACTCAAAAAGAAAATGAGGATGGCATCTCAGACGCCTTTCGATGGTAGAATCTAGGGAAGAATTGCAACATGATTGACCATATGTTGCTGGAGATCATGGAGATCATGGAGATCATGGAAGTGCGTTGATCGACTCGACTGACCGATCGACTGACCGATCGACTTCATCGTCGCCCGCGTGAGCTGACCGCGGTCGACCGCACCGCGGCCCCGGGTCTTCTTCAGAAGGCTCATGACAAAAGGCCCCTTTGGGGTCAAGATCCGCCACCCTAAAAGAATTGCCAAAACAAGATCATCATGAGGGAAAAAAGGGATGAAAAGGGATCGGTTTTTACTTTCGTTCTGGTTCTTGTGTCTTTGGGGATCTACTCCACCTAGGCTCGGCGAAGTCACTCTCTCACTCTCGGCTCTCGGACGGTAGAACTCTCCAGCGCTGCCCTAAGGGTCGAGTCCTTGGGCGGGTGAGACTCCACAAAACCATGTTTGGAGGGTAGATGGGTCGATCGACCATGGGGGAAACGGCTTTTGGAAGTGGATCCCAACCATGAGTCAAAGCTTCAGAGGCTGGGTATTGATTCTTCAGTCGGAGTCACCCCATCATCTTGGCCCACAGTTGCAGCCGTGGAAGCCTAAGCCTTTATATTGAGCTTGGGCGACATCAAGCTTCCGTCCACACTGACCATCTGCATCAACGGTGGACTGGCTACAACCACTCCAAAAATCCGTTCAACCATCTCTTCCACCACTCTCGGGTGTGTATGTTTCATTGGTGGACCTCTCAACCAGACTGGATAGACTGGTCTGATGAACCCATCTTCCAGGGTGTCGTTGCCTGACAAGGCCTCCCTGTTACACACCCGACCGGTCTAAGGGCTTCCGGACGGTCTCACTTGCCGTCGGAAGACACCTGGCGGACGCTCGGAGCTGCGAAGCCCCCGAAGACATAGGGCCTAGGGATAGGGATAGTTCCCACCTCGCTGGGCCCCTGGTAATAATACTTTGTAATATAATATAGTAAAATATAGTATAATATAATATAATGTAATGTAATATAATATATGGGTGTGTATTTTAAGGAGATCCCCAACCAACGGGTAGACTGGTCTAGATTCCTTCTTCCCGGGGTTCTTTGGCAGTTCTCCCTATTTCAAAACACACCCATGTACCACCATTGCTTTGGGAAATCCGGGCGTTGGCACGCCGACATTGAAGTGGTTGATCCGCGGGATTTTTGGAAGAAGAACGGTCAATAGTCCTTTTACCACCCTCTCTGGCTTTTCGCAGTGTGGATGTTGATCCACCCAAGGATCAGACAAGGAATTCCCCTCTCCCTGGAAGCGAGCTACACTTCTCCAAACTATCCCTTACCATGCAATGGTTTCGGAAAAAGGACACGAACTGATGTTTTCGGTTTCAACGATTTGCACAGGAGCTCAGGGTCCTCCAGGTGTTAAACATGTTTGCTGTCCCTGCCATCCACCAAGTTTGAACTTTCGCGGTCATGTGCCTGTGGCGGTCGCAGGTCGTGCACGCCTGTAGGCTTGCAGAAGAGTCCCCCCACCCCCTCAGGCCCCTCAGTGAGGCAGCTGATTTGACAAAAAACACAAAACACAAGGGGTGCGCAGCTCGCCCCACGAATCCACGCTTCACGGGGTGCTCGGTCTGTCCGAGTTGAACAGCCAAGTCGAGCAGCGATGGCAGCGGGTGTCGAGTGGTCTCAACCCATCGGACCGGGCACCCCGGGGTGCGCCTCGTGTTGGGGCCAGGCCAACAGGGGTCCAACCACTACGACAATGGTCAACTCGGATCCAACTGTGAACGATCTTGGACCGCGGAGGATCAAAGGTACTTTCCTCAAGGAAACTTCACAGAAGTTGCTGGTCACCAGTAAGAGGTGCTCTGCTTCGAGGAGAAAAACTCCAGGATCATCCAGGTCTTCATCATGTGATTCGCCTCGGCCGCTCCTCCTCCAGCTGCTCCACCTGACCAGGTCGCCCCAGGTCGGAAGGCGCGTCCGGGCGAAGGTGAGCACAGGTGGCTGTGAGGATATAGTTGTTTCAACATGTTTCAACCCAGCCATGCGCGACTCCCAGGCCACGTGGGGAGTTTAACTCTTGTTGATACAGGGTTAGAGCCGGATTCGGAAACTGATCGGTCGGATTCTGAAACTAGGTTCTGAAACTGGGGTTCTGAAACTAGGGTTCTGAAACTTGGATTCTGAAACTGGGATTCTGAAACTTGTATTCTGAGACTGGAAAGTCAGATTCTGCAACTGGTATTCTGAACCTGGGATTCTGAAACTGGACAGTCAGATTCTGCAACTGGCATTCTGAACCTGGTATTCTGCAACTGGTGATCTCCACATCATGCGATAGCGTGTGTGCCTGTGACATCATCTTCGAAGCACATCCAAACCAACGTGATTAGCCCCCCACCCAACCCCCCGCCCCCCCACCCTTGTCCCCATAGTGTGGTCTCGACATCACGCCAACCCCCTCATCGGGAATCCTAGTTGCGGAATCCTAGTTGCGGAATCCTTAGTTGCG